TGCTAATATTTCCACATAGTGACATAGACATGTGGGGGCATGTTAGAATGAACCGTTTTAGGTAGGCATGGTTGACTCTTAACTTTTATAAAGAATATCTCTTTGGATTTGAGACTTTAGTCTTTGCAACTTTATAGATCTTCTTTATGCACCAAGAGCTTGTAACATTTCAAAGAGAAAGGAAAACTTGAAATCGCATCATATGACCCCTTTAAGTAAGTAGTAATATTTTGTAACTGATACGGAACTTAATAGGTAGCCAGTGTAAAGATCACAAAATTGGGGTAATGTGATCATTTTTTCTTGACCTGGTAAGGACTCTAGCAGCTGCATTTTAGACTACCTGTAGCTTGTTTATTGAAGATACAGGACAACCACCTAGCAGTGCATTACAATAGTCCAGTCTAGAGGTCATGAATTCATGAACTAGCTTTTCTGCATCAGAAACAGGTAGCATGTTCCATAGCTTGGTGATGTTTCTAAGGTGGAAGAATGCTGTTTTTATAACAAGTGAAATATGATTTTCAAAAGATAAGTTGCTGTCGAATATAACACCCAAGTTTTTGACTGTAGAGGAAGTAACAGTACATCCCTCTAAATGCGAATTGTTATCTAAGAGATTCTGTGTACTGTTTTTTAATCCACTAAGTAATATCTAATATCTAAGTAATACCTGTCTTATCCAAATTTAATAGGAGAAAATTATTGGTCATTCAATCTTTTACATTTTTAACACACTCTGTTAGCTTAGATAATTTAGCCTGCCCTTGAATACCTGTATAGTTTTGTAATTGATCTATGAGTATGTTATGATCTTGTGTCGAATGCAATACTAAGATCAAGTAAAACTAGTAATGAGATGCAGCTTTGGTCTGACGCAAGAAGCAAGTAATTTGTAATTTTAACAAGTGCAGTTTCTGTGCTATGATGGGGCCTGAAACCTAACTGAAATTCTTTTTGAAATTTTTTGCAGGAAGGAGCACAATTGAGCAGACACACATTTTTCTGAAATTTTAGGCATAAACGGAAGATTTGAAATGGGTCCGTAATTTGTCAGTTCACTAGGATCTAGTTGTGGTTTCTTAATATGTGGCTTAATAACCGCCAGCTTGAAGGGTTTTTGGACGTGACCTAGATATATAACAATGATTTAATAATATTGAGAAGGGGTTCTTCTGCTACAGGTAACAACTCTTTCAGTAATTTAGTGGGTACAGGATCTAATAAACATGTTTGTTGGTTTAGATGCAGTGACAAGTTTATTTAGCTCTTTCTGTTCTATAGTTGTAAAGCACTGCAATTTTTCTTTGGGTACGATGAATAAAGCTGAATTACAAGACGCTGTTGATTCTACATTTGTTATTGTATTTCTGATGCTATCTATTTTATCAGTGAAGAAGTTTATAAAGTCATTACTAACTGCTCATGTAAGTCACTACTAAATTGCTCACCTAAGTGGCTTCATCAGTTGTAGGATGTCCCAGACATCTGGCATTAAACCTCACTGCTAGTCTCACAGCTTATTCTGTCCAATAACTGCCTTCTTAGATAGGAAGAGACCATCTGACACATAAAGTGACCATTCAAAGTGAGTTTTCAGATTATGACACAGCAGTCTAAAATTGTACCAAATAAATAAAATACCTAGAAATAAATAAATAAATACCTAGAGCTAAATAAATAGCTAAAACATGCATATGTACAAAAACACATTATATATAAATATAAATATGGAGTAATATATTTATCATAATAATAATACATTTAATTCCAGGTAAAAATATGTATATATATCTACATAAATAGAACTTTTACATACCAATCACAAAAATATTACAAATAGAAGAACAAACAAACAAATAAGGGGGTGTTTGCTGTATAGTGGCTTCAGCTATATGTTCATCTTAATTTCCAAATAATAATAATAATAATAAAATGTATTAAATGTATTAAATTGCTATGAGATACATAGTTTTTTTAGAAGAGCTTGATTCCCATAATTGTCTTTTTTCCCCCAAGTCTCTAATATGGGTAGCATTCTTTGTAGTATTACTATGTAGGATGTAGTATTTGAGGACTCCAATGTTCAAGCAAAGAGCAAATGCTTGTATTTGTTTTTTGCATATTTTATGAAGACTTATATGACACCTCTAAGACTGCACTTATATTCTTATCATTTGGTATTGGATGGTATCCATAAAGTTATAGAACCCTGTCCTATTGATATGTGATAAAGAGTGCACACAGATGGCCATTAAAATGTTTCATACAGATTTTATTTGACGTCAGAGAGGAAGAGACAGAGAATGAATGAGCAGAGAAAGAGAGAGAAAGATCCAGGTCGCCAAAGCTATCAGCTGGGACTAAAATTCATCAGCCAGAAAACAAACTGGGCCACACATCCCTCTCTGGGTGGTCTGGCTCCACTGCACTCATAGAATGAGCTCTGACTCTCTTCCAGCGGATGCAACTGCAAATCCTGCCAGGGACCATGGGTTTATAGCTACACCCCTCCAGCTCCTGACGCTCGCGCTATGACAGAAAAATCCTCTGGCTAATGACATACAGGCCTGGACCTGGAGGGGGAGAAAGGGTTAAAGCAAGCCAATTGAGCGAATAATAAGTTCAATTTAGGAGATTGGAGGGCTGGTGTGGAATGAAAACCAGAGGACACCACTGCAAGAAGGGAACCATGGAAAGGAGGGAAGCCTGGCAGGTGGCCAGAGAGAGGACCTTAGAGAGTTCAGTGGTGGCTTTAGTGCCAAGGGCTACGTGTGGTTAAGGGACTGATGAGGTTTCACATAATTAAAGCAATTCTTATCTTTGCACAGAATAATAAATGATAACAAAACTTGTCATATATGCTGAGGCAATTCAGTGGATTTAATGCCAGTGAAAGTTTATCACTTGTATGTAAATGTACATTTCATAACCCACAATAAGCCCAAAAGAGCACACAATGAATGCAAAAAAAGCCTCTAGCAATCAGGTTGTAAAATGCAATAAGGTGTGGAATTATTGGTGCAGGAAACTTTTCCTCAGTGTAGTTCTTGTTTATTGTCTTGAAATGAAAGTCAGGTTGGTTTCAGTTGGGACGAAATTAATATTTTGAATAATGTCTGATTCTAAGGAATTTACTTATGCAAGTCTGATTTATAGAGACACTTCGGATAGACATTGAAGCAATATTCTGGAATATTACTCACTAGATTGCAGTATCAAGTGATTTATTTATTCAAATTTTCCTAAATGGATAAGCATGAAATGCTACATTGTCATTTCCAGTAACATTTTTCCTATTATGGTTTGATTGCTTTAATGTACAAGTGAAACTGTATTTTGTTTCTTTCCACTTATTTGTCTCCAATTCTAATCCCTCTGCTCAATACAACATAGCATTGTGCATTAGTCACAGCTTTCTTTTAACTTCTGTACTGTAATGTGAACGAAGGATAAAGCAATTTACCCTGCGGACCACCCAGTTTAGTCAACAGTCTGCAGGTAGAACAAACCCACACGCAATAGTTCCATTTCCTTGAATGCACTTTATTTAAACAACAGCATTTGAAAAAAAAAAAAACTTTGTCATACAAACAAAGCCAAATGATGCACATAAGTTAATTATCACTTAGTGATAATGACAATGCATTCGATTGACAAGGAAATTAGAAGTGGCAATCCTGATTCACATTGTAGGCGTTCATGAGTATGAAAACGATGAAAATTATGAGATCATCTAATTTTGTCATCTCCGAAGCAAAGAACTGGAGCATTGTGCTTAGTTCAGAGGCACTGTATGATAAACTAAAGCATTAGCAAGATGAATAAAAACATCCTTCCTCAGAAATCCATGGGGTATTGAAAATAATTATGATCCTTTTATTTATTTATTTTTTGGTTAAGGACATACTTGTGTATCTGTAAATTTCATATCTATGTGATAAATTATAAAGTTCAGGTCGTCCAAATCTAATTGTCTAAATAATGTATGCAAAAATAAGAAAGTGGCCTTGGAGGCCTTCAGCTTTTCCATTCAAATCCTTTGAAAGTCAATGTAATGTTATAGTGGCTCTGTAGATGACCAGATACCAAACAAATGGCTAAACTAAAGAGTCAAACCAAGCCTTTGCCTTAACCACAACACTTCTCAGACATGCAACTCCGGGAGTCTGCTGCCTCTCAAGGAACTAGCCTCTTCACAAGGAGACATGATCACTTCCACTTAACCTCGACACCACAGCATGGGAGAGAACGATTACTTTCCCGCCTGGTGAACGAGAAAATGAGGGAACAGAGAGGATGGTACAGAGAGCTGAAAAGAAAGAATGAAAATGAAAGACATGGATAATTGGGCAGTGACCTTGACCTAGTGCTCATCAGGGACTCTTGGAATCTTCTTTGTTTCTCCTCGGCGTCACACTTGCCACTAACTCTGACAAAGACAGAGAGGAGGAGGTGATGGAGGAGAAAAAGTGCGTGGTTGCTCGCACCTGCTGAGTGGTAAGCCACCCCCATGGTAGGTTCAACACCAGTCTAGGACACACAGACACATGCGTGCACATGCTTTCATCATTTATGAGGATAATTTGGGAGGTGTATAGGGACGGACTCATCAGAAGTGCTTGTCTCCAGCTGATCTAGACTCGGCAGGGTGGCAGGATTTGGAGAAGATGTTCAGAGTGTAGCGAAAGGGGCGGTTCAGGCCTCCAAAATTGGCAAATGATTGACAGGCTTAAGTAAGGTGTAGATCAAGCAATCAATCACTACCGTGTTATTAAAGACCTTTTGCAAAACCTGCAGGTATCCAAGATTTCAGTGTAGATTGTGTGATGTGTAGATTGTGATTCAATAGCTCTTTCCATTATCAAATGCAACTTATGATAAGCAACTTCTAACATTTGTTCCATTTAAGATACAAAGACAAAGTGTTTTTGACCACTTAGAGAGAATGACGATACGTAAATGTAACTAACATAAAAGGTTTTTAATGACTAGTAAGATGTTGAAATAACCTGAGAGACTGTAGACAGTTGTCGGTGAACATGAAGAAAAATCACATAATCACAGATTTTTAAGGTTGTTGACAGTAATTTTAAATTTTTAGGGGGCCTACAATCAAAGACAGGGAGGTACATAAGTTCTGTATAGTCACCTATGATTGATTTTAAAGTTCAGATTTGGGTAAATGCAGACCAGGTAACAATCAAACAAACAGAAAGAGTGAAATTAAAATGAGCCAAAGATGCAGATAGGGGAATAGGACAGAAAATGGTTAGAAGTTCAATCTCTCTGAAGAGGTGAGCAGCAGAGAAGCACAACATAGTCAAAGGTTGCCTAAGTGTTATTATATAACAGTATTAACCTATAACAGTTATAGGTATAACACACATCAGGCTCTTTTGCCACCAACACATTTCCATGTGAATTCACATAATTCCTGCACATCTTATTAGAGAGCTCTAGTCCTTGATGCCTTAGTCTGGTCTTTACTTGAAAATTTGTGAGAAATGCAGCATGGCCACAGTGAAATCATAACCAGGGACAAATGATCAATGTACTAGAGAACGACTTCTTAAGGTTATATACTTACAATTCAACCTCACAGACATCAGAGTGAGAAGCTTATCCTTGTGATTGGAATGCCATCTAAGCTTCTGAGAAAAATACAGTATGTGTATCCCCATTTTTAACTAATGTTCTGCTGGAATACATTAGTCATAGGCATGTACAGGTGTGGACACTGTGCCTATGTGAAAGAGTCAGGATGCTCAAAGTAATTGCAAGAACCACATCAGCATTTTGCACATTAATGATTCTAAACAAAACATTTCCATTTGTAATAACAAAACATGGACATAGACCACAATTATCACTTGTTTGAAACAAGATAGTTTAAGGGTTAGGATAAGGTTAACAACAATATTTTGTCTATTATCTGTGAAAGAGCAAGTAGCAGCTGATTCTCAAAAACAAATCAGAACCCTTGATACAAGTGTTGCCACGATGTCATTGATAATTTTTAAACAGGTGGCCATGTTGCCTCAGGTTACGCTGATCAAAGTTTTAATCCAAATGCTTGCCGAGTTCTGATTGGCTCAAAAGAAGGATTGTCATCTTATGCACAAAAAGATCATATAAATTCCACTGATTCCTCTTATTTCTATTGTTTTAATATTCAACATCTCATCTGCCAAGTGCTGTTCTCTTTGGAAAAGTACATAATGCTGATAGAATTGGCAGTATATATCACATGATTCACTCAGTAACTTCAGTAACTGCTTCCAATTCATTCCTCTCTGTTTTGGCAGTTTCTTTCTTTCACAACGTGTCTCTCATTACCAAAACATCTGCTGCAAGCCAAAAGCTGATATTAGACCATGAAAATAGAACTAAAAATAACAGCAAGAACAACCATAACAACAATAATACCAATAACAACAATAATAATTGAGGGTGAAGATAGCAATAAATAGTGCTGTGGAGTTGGGTGTGGGTAAGTGAGGTCAAATCAGGACATTGTGGGCATCAGTCAGGAAAAGAGAAAGCTGTGGGAGGTGACGGAAGAGAGAAGAACTACCGCACTTCCACACAAGCGCAGTTGCTGGAAATGGTTTGCTCTTCTCCACTAGGCCAGAGGCAGATGCAGTTAGACTGCACCCTCACCGTTGTCCTTCTGCCCATAGTAGTCAGTCCTCCTGCCAATTATGTTTTATTCTCACTGTCTTTTAAATGTAGAGAGAGCAAAACTGGAATGAAACCTACGGTCTAAACATATCTGTATAAAGCAAACCTTCAACCACTGGACAGGAGTGACTGATTGCACAGTCTGTATTGGGTGTGCATGGGTGGTGGGGGTAAAAGTGATTTCTTGAACTGTGTGGGACTGCTCGGAATGACGGTTGTGGCTGGTTGTGGGAAGGATGGCATAGTCTTCAAAAGCGCCACTGGGCTAACTGTGGACCTTTCAGCACACCACATGTGTTTATAGTAGGGATCCTGGGCTTGGCTGATGTGTACACCCAAGATCTCATCTGTACCTCTAACCCAACCGACCGCTTTAGCAGTCGAGCACGGCCCTCAGTTGGCGACTGCCAGAATGCCCCATCATGGAGGGGAAGATGAGGACAGCCATAGCCGCCCACTAGGCTCCCTGATCGGACAGGAGTGATGTTGTTGGTGTCCTATAGGAGATCATTGGCTCATCTAAAGCACTGTCCCTGCCATTTTAACCCTGTAGAGATAAAGAGGGGGCATGGATAGTGGTATTTTGCGAGAGACCCCCTGCTCTCAGATTAGAAATGAAACACAAATACTGGCCTTCTTGACATTATTATCATGCAAGTTTGAATGCTTGTGACATCTTGGGGTTGAGGCAGCTATCTTGCCTTAATTTGATGATTTACATCTAGAAAATAAATGCTTCCCAGCCAAACAAATTATTTCCTTGTAGTATGCCGTAGGGATTGCTTCCGTACCATGCCACCCCTGTAAGTAACTTGTGAGGTATGAGGCCAGGAGTAGATCACAACTGATTTTTCTACACCAAAACTTAATCAAAATGCAGATCTTGTCTGGTTTGGTTTGCCTTTTACGGGTCCTCAGAGGACACTGTGTCTTTGTTAGAAAGTTTCTAAGCTATCCGCAACACTCTCTCATCCACTACAGAATAGTTGTAAGTGCTCACTCCTTGCCTTTCCCCACCTACAGTATAGTCTTTGTTGAGACCGTTTTATCTCTGATATTCTGCCTGATCTCGGGGACTTGGGGATGAACCACATGGAGGCAGGGAGCTGGGTCTGGCTGATCCCAGGGGCAGGCCTTTGTCTTTATTCTCATCCTGGCCTGAAGAAACAGCTGGAGTTGGGATAGAGTTGGCTGCTCTGGCTGGTGTGCTTTCATGCCCACTGTAGATCTCTTCGTGGCCATCTTCACTGGATTCCGCATCCTCTGAACTGGAGAGCAGCTCCTCATCATGATATTCAGCTACGTCTACACCGCCGCCCTCAGATCCGAGCTCCTTTAGTCGGCCATGATGCTTCACATGATAACGCTGATTCTGGAAGAACTTAATAATGGTGTGTTTGGGCAGATCTAATTGGGCTGAAAGGGTGTGGATTGCTTCCTGGTCAGGGTAGAGGCCCACATCTTGGATAAAGCTCTGTAAGATGCCTAGAGCCTCCAGAGAGATCTTGGTGCGTGAGCGAGGTTTTTTTGTGATGTTGCAATCCCCTCCGCTGTTGCCTGAACATGCATTAGCCTGAGGGTTCTCTTCGGCTCCAGAACTGGGAACAGGTTCTTCTCGGATGGGAGAGTGGTCCTTCAGTGGCTGCATGGGCTGTCTGTGAAGTGCCTGGTAAGAAAGTTGAAAAGTTATTAGTTGGGCCAGAGTGATCTCTTCCTAAACTTATAAACAAGTGTCAGCAGTATGGAATAATTGAAAAACTGCTTAAAAGTTAAAAGTGTCTTTTCAATTAATGTCTCTTGGAGCTAATGTCCTCTATGCACTTGAGTATGTGATCAACTCACATAAAAATCCAACCAGACTGCTCCAGGCTATGATTGTTTAACTATGTATATTGTACACATAATTCCACAAGATTAAATATCTTGTCATTGCATCATGGTTTGAGACCATCAAGGCAACTAACAGCATCTGAGTTGACAGATCAACCACATGAAATTCAACAGAGGAAGAAGCTGAACAAATACACACCAAAACCAAAATAAATACATCAAAAGAATCTGTTATGAAGAGATATGTTTTGAAACAACCATTTGAAGTATAGTGGCAAGTTGGTTTCATCTGTCATTTTGACAGGGATAAATTCCATCCCTGTTAGCACAGACTAGTGACTGCTAAATTTAACAGTAAAAGTAATGCAAAAACACAGACAGCAAGAAATTACACTTTTGACTTTGACATGAGATGTGAGATAGTTTTCATATGCTATTGTCTTATACAAAAACAGTATAATCATTAGCATTTTCCAACAAGTTAGCAGAGTAACAGAGCTACATTATTGTTTTTTTACAGAGGTTCTCAGACCCTCCATATGTTTCTCAATAAATCTGCCATTTTTTTCTACCGTGGGCGCCAAAACAGGAATAAGGGGAAGGAGTGAAGGGGGATTGGGGGACAGAGTATAAAATAGTGGTAAAATAGGATTAGAAGTAAATATAAGATATTTAGTAAGAGTGAAAAATATGTATCTAGAAAGCTTTGATACAAAAGAAGGTGCAGTGTGTCACAGCTGAGCTATCGAAGTCTGTGGCGCTGTCCCGCTGAGTTTATGACCAGGGTGGGGTGCCCAGTGCCTCCACACTGGAATGCTAAGCTATAAATCTGCGGTGCATTAAAATTAAAGGACCTACATAAAGATAATAGTCATGCGCCTCTATCTCTCTGTCTCTCTCCTGCTCTCTCTCTATTCCCTAAATAATAACAGGGTATTTTTTAAATAATATTGAGGGCAGGCCAGACCATGAAATTGCTCCGATTTCACTTGTGGGGGCTGTTTTGAGCTGGCGCTTTACAGGAAGTGTGTAGGTTTATTCTTTTTCTTCTCTATTTCTCCATAATGTATTACTTTCCATGTCTCAGAGAAACAAACAGAGGCCACAAGAAAGGACGAGAAAAAGAAATGTCAAAGACGTTTGAAGATGGTGAATAACTAGATTGACCACAAGGCATAACAGTGCAAAATATCTGTTAGCTTAGCTAAAGAGACCACACACACATTCACAAACCCATTCATCCTGTATATGTTTTCTTGTTGTGTATATTATTTTATGAAATTCTGGAAATAATTGAGGTACGTTCCAAAGACATATATAGAGTACATTCCAAAATGCACACCACAAACATTAAATAATGACTTTGCACACTTACGGTACATACCATTGTTTTGGCATCCTATCAGATATTTTCAAATTCAGAGATGGAGTGAGTCTTCCAAAAGCCCATTCAGAGTAAAGATTCTAAGATGCCTGTTCCTGTGCTCTAATGGTTGATGTTAATGAAGAGCTTTTCTGCCAAGCCAGAGGAGTGACTCCATTTCAAAACCCTGCTTTAGCTATAAAGCCAACCTCCGATTTCCTCCACCATCCAATTCATTCACCTACTCAGTTCTTAAACAACATATTCTCAACCACAAGAGACACATTTGGACACAGGGCCATTTTTCCCTGCACACTTTACTTTTTTCAAAATTCATCTCCATCGTTTCTTTTCTAATTCCAAGCTGGGACGGGTCTGTGAGTTCACTGAATTAAGAAAAAGTATATTTTTCCCCCCTTTAAACACAAATTAAGGCAAATTATGGTGAAGAAGTATAAAAGAATTATAGAACATAAAAAATTCAGTTGATTCTTAATGAGGATCGGCCCTCATGGGGATGGAGGCAGGATTAAAAGGGACTGTTGCCACTGGAGACGCCATTAACAGGCAGATAAATATGTAATGATGAGAAAGACACTTTTCTGTTGGTTTGCTTATGCATGACTTCACCTTCTCCAATTATTATGTGCATCATAATTTTTCTTCACCACATTGCAATACCTCAGGAATGGGTGAGTCATGTACATGCATGTGTGTGTGTTTTGATATTTTTGGGGGAATATGTAGAGTTTAGGAAATCCACAAAATTAAAAGAAATGTACTCATGCATTACTCACTATTCCTAGTATGCAAGTCTGTTACTGCCTCAGAGAAAAAAATAATAATAATCATTTAATTTGATCTCAAAATTGACAATTTTTTTTAGCAAATGTGACATCTCCCAATGTAACTTTAAATTGCACAATTGTGACTTTATCTTATTCCTCCTACGCCAGCACTCAATCAGGGTCCCAATCCACATGGCAGGGTCTAGAGGGCACTCCAGTGCACACTGCAGCATCCAATTTCACAAAAACAAAGGCGAAATTATTCATAAGAAATGTCTTGCCAAATGAGCAAAGGGAGGCACTTAAGACCATACACATGCACTGCAGAAACAGCGTGAAGACGATGTGGGACCAGGTCAGCCATCTACATGTAGAGTGTGTTAGTGTGAGTGTATCCCTAAGGTGGGGCGAGCTGCACCCAGGGGCTCACATGGACCTGTCATGGAGTGCTTAAAAAACGAATTTGAAATGGCAATAATTTATTTTATTTTTTTACAAAAATCTAATATTCTCTATAAAACTTTAGAACAATATTTATGTTCATTATTTATGCTCTATACAAATAAATATAAATTGAATGTCTTCTCCTCAGGTCAAAATCTATTCTAAATGGGTAATGACAAGAGCACACAAATCACATGTTTTATTTTGTTTGACACGTCAATGTTACAGAATTTCATGGTTAAAACCAGAGGAGGACTTGTTCTGGATTATTGAGTGATGTTTGATGATCTTATAAGGGTTAAGTAAATACATCAGTTAATTCTGTTGGTCACACTGAGGTGGTATCTGCTAAATAAACCGCATACATGTATGTGCCGCATGTGTGTTTATTCATTAACATGTTCATGTCTGCATAAGCAGCTGGGACGCATGTACTGTGGTGGCAGGCAGGCTGGAACCGAGGGGACTGCTGGGTATTTTGTTATGAGGAGGGACCCTCATTACTACTACGTCTACTACTACAAAAAAAAAAAAAAAAAAAGAACGCAGGACACTAATTCTGAATCTACATTCACTGTCAATAAAAGTCTCAAAAAGCAACAAAATATTGCATCACATAAAAAACAAAATTAAAAGAAAATGTTATATCATATGTATATTATAATGTTATATTTTAATATTACATTAATATTTTTTTCAAATAAAGATAACAGTATGAATATAAATACAACAATATGTGCTCTGTATGATATATACAGTACATAATACAAATAAATAAATAAATAAATAAATATATAAATAATAGAAAAAATGCCTGGTACAGATACTTTTAGCAACATTGTGCTTTAGTAAATGCACTGACTATCCTCAACATATTTTATGATCAATATTGCGCAAGAGTTCATGGTCAAAGCTGTGTGGAGTTACTAAAGAGACTTACTGTAGTGAAATCCCTTGAGTCATTACGCGTGTGTGTATGTGCATATATGTGTGTCTGTGTGTGTGTGTTCCTTCTCTTCCCGTAATTATTAATATCAGGGCTGTGGTAGCACTGTCTGTCAGGGTGTGTCCTAATGGGGCATTTCCTTCTGCGCCCAAAACACATAAATGAGTATATTTACACACACACATGCTGCCAACAGACTGTTTATTCCACTGACATAAAAGAGAAAGCGAGCAAGAGAGAAGGAGATGTAATGGGCTAAGACAGTAACAGAAAGCCATTCTGTCTCCATTTGTTAGTACTTAATCTTAAAACGGCTGCTCAACTTAAGTTAATAAATGTTAATAAACAGCTATCATTGTGAGTGAATTAAACCACAATGCTTTACTGGCAGGGTGAGAAAGAAGAGTAGGTTAAAAGAAGGTGGAAAGCATTGCTCCAAGTGTTTGTAGATTTATGTGTATGCCGTTTGTGTGTGCAAGTATTTACATATAAGTATTCATGTGTAGAATGTGTGTGCGTACTGTGTATGAATGCATGTCTATGTTAATACTGGTAAAGTGTTTGTCCACAGTCTTCACTATAATGACCCTGGCTAGCATAGGGGAAAGTCCATTTAATCAGTAGCATGTTATTTGAAATTCTCTGTGTGTGTGTGTGTGTGTGTATGTGTGTGTGAGAGAGAGAGAGAGAGATTAAAGAGGTTGGGGTGTGCTGGGTTATTAGATGTTGGCAGGAATGCTGCATGAATAATGCTGATATTAAACCTGAAGCCTCAAAGAAGTGTACACAGTGAACACATTTATATGATCTAAAGAGAATTACTGTATGCTTAAAACATTTAAGCAGAACTCAAAATTGTTCTTTCCTCTTTCCTTTAAGTCTTTTTCAAATTATAAATTTTTACTTTTAATGTTATTCAAGGTTTCTTGTACAAAAACACCCTCTCTCTTAGAATTAAACAGACCTTTTTTAATGGACAAAAACAGAAATAGAAATAAGTAAATTACATTTTACTGGACCATTCTTGATCGGAGTCAACCTTCTTTGTGTTTAACAGGGCCTTTTTTAATGCTGTGCTTTTAAAGGGATAGTTCACTCAAAAATGTAAATCCTGCCGTCATTTACTCACCCTCCACTTGTTACAAACCTGTACAAGCTTTTTTCTTCTGTTGAATACAAAAGAAGATATTTTGAAGAATGTTGGTGAGCAAACAGTTGACTGTAGCCATTGACTTCCATAGTATTTTTTTTTCTATATTATGGATGTCAATGGCTTCCGCCAACATTCTTCAAAATATCTTATTTTGTATTCAACAGAAGAAAAAAGCTTGTACAGGTTTGGAACAACTTGAGGAACAAACTCTATGCAAATCCTGCTTGACACTTTGTTAGAATCATAAAAATATGCAGAAAAGTGAATTTTCTGAACACTGTTTTTGACATAAATGTGGGCATATAAATTGTGTTCATTTATTTATCTGCCTGACAACAGAAAGTTATAGAAGGTAAAAACAAACATTTAATAATTGGTCTTTCTGGAGTGGGAGGAATCAAGGAACATTTAATTTCTCATAATATGACCATCATGCAGTTCAAATGTCACATTAAATTGCTTTCTTTTGCCACACATTTTTGTATGCAATATGTAAGTATGCATTTAGATTTTTCATAAAGTCACCTGAGGGTCAGTGGGCAAGTGTAGTACAGTGTGCAGCCGTTCACTGTGGTGATGGCGGGACTCTTCCTCATACACCAGATCCCTGTCCGCTTGTGGAAGGCTCAGAAACCTCCGGATAGTACACAGGTTCTCCCAGAGAGTCCTGTTCTCCGGACTGGGACTCTCTTTCCAGCGAAGCAGTTCGCACAGCCATCCCTTGTAGAAGGGACAAGGTTTCATTACACATTTTGTTTTGCTGAAGGAATTTTTCCAAAAATAACACTAAATAGTAACAATATATGCCTTGCCTTCTTAGTTCATTACCCACTAAAGTGCCACTATAGAGACTAACTTCCGTTTTTGGGGCATTTATGTCTCTTTAACAGGTGGACATGATCGGCAGAATGGGATGTGAAGCAACTCACCCCTTGTCCATGTTTATTTTATGACTGTAAAGTTTACTTTACATTAAACAACTACCACCACAAAGAATCACAAGTGCAGCGAGGGAGCTGAGAGTGTGTGAAAGAGAGAGTTAAATGGTGGGAGATTAGGAAGATTTGATTATCTCTGCTAGACTAGGCCAGTCTTTGACACCAGCTGTTGTGTGCAGCCAACCACTTCCAGCACACATTGTTAATGACCTGAGCATCTCTCTCTCTCTTTCCTTCTCCCTCAGCTCCTCCTGGCCAGCTGCAGCAGATGGGCGCGTTCAGCCATGACCCCCCACCACCCGACCCCAGACCTGTGAGACCTAACCGCATCTGTCACACACACACACACACACACACACACACACACACACACACACACACACACACACCCACAGAGGCTCTTTGCACACACCTCACACACACACAAACATG